TGGAGGAAGTAAATAATAGCTTCTTGCTTCCTTGCTATTACATTTATAATTTTTTTTTTCATGTCTCTTGGAAGCCCATTTTAATTTCTTCTTCAGTTCAACTTCATATCCCTTTAAATGCTTTTTTTTTCTTTCTTTCCGTGCTCTCCTCTCTCTGTCTCCCACCCCCATCCTCCAGGAATGTTTTTTCTGATTTCTAAGCTTTCAGTGTGGCCAGTCTGAACTGTATAAATGACAGCCTACAGTGGGAATGTATGTCTTGCAATTCACGGTGATGGTTATGTAGTCCGTTGGTATTCTCTGCCTCCCACACTCCTATTCTAGTATCATCTGGAGTTTCTATAGAATGTGGTGTATTTATTGTGCTCTTATGTAAAATGAAGATTATCTATTAAAGTTACATTTTCAACATACAAATGCTTTCAGTGACTGGTAACTGGTATTGTCCCTCAAAGTGCACTGCATAGTAACATCATAAAACTTGGTTCAGAATAATCTAGTTCAGCACAAGATTAAGACACTTAAAAAGCTGGGTTTAAAGTTAGATTTCCTTATTGGATGTAGTTTCTCACACCTGTGGCTTGCAGCAGATCTTTAGTCTTATTCAGGTTGAGTAGGCCTCTTTACTGTAACTAACAAATCAGGTTTTTTGTTATTGAGATGAACATTTGTGCAGTTTAGTTGGTGAAATTCTCTTGCATGTCATTATTTGGGTGACTAGTTAACTGAGCATACATCTACCCTTAATTGTACAGTAACTGATTTTTAACATGGTAGATGGCTCTTCTGAATTCTTCTAAAATGAATTTAGCTCAAGATACACTTAAAAAAAAAAAAAAACCCTCTTAATACTACTACTGTTCACATTTACCAATGGATGCCTTTATTAGCATACTCTGAATATGTAATTGAATGGAAAAAGTACTCCTCCAGTCAAGCCATGGAAAAGGAATGGGGAGTGCAGTAAATTTCATTGTGTGTGTATAGAGGCGCCAATGCATCCCAGGTTTTTAAAGATTCTTAATGAGTCTGGAATGTAGCTGAGAGATCTACTGGTTGAGTGTTGAATAGCTTCCCAACCTGCTTTTTCTCTGTGCAGTTAGACAATGTAAAGCTGTGGGTAAATAGCTTTGATGTCTACAGATTTAAGTTGTTTAGAAGGACATGCCCTTTAACTGCTTATTTTAAAAACAATTGTAGATTCTAAAAACTTCACATGGCATAACTTCAGTGATATCCACCATGATTGTAAGAATCTGTAAGTGGACTTCAAGTCCAAAATAAATTAAAGCAAAGTAGGATTTATGAAAATATAATTTTATATTACAATAGTCACTTAACATCTGAATCTCATGCTTTTAATGAAGCTTAAAATGCAATGTCAGATATTTTCTGTCTTGTATCAAGTGATGCTTGCAGATATTTGACTTCCTGACTCATATTTGAGAATGTTTGAAGTTCTTAGCTCATCTGTATAGTTGCCTGAATTATCTGAAACCAGATTAATGGAATTTATTTTTCAAATGGTAGTTGGAGATGCCCCACTATGTTTTGTTATCTAATGTTCATTCCATCACCTCTAGAATTAAAATTTGCCACAAGTACAAGTGTGGTTGCCTTACCATAATGAGTACTAGTTTAGAATTGTTAATCTTTGCAGAAGAATTACAGTAAGTGTTTCCTTTTATAGTTTTCCTTCAGTGCTATTGGTGCTAAGAGCTAACTGGCCTGAAAGCCTAAACAAGAGTTGAAGCTATATTTTACATATTAGTTTATGGATGATGTTTGTGTAGGTAGAAGGCATACATTGTAAACCAGACCCTAAATTTTTATTTTTTTGCAATAACTAACTTTAATCTAGGTCAAGGAAATACACTGGAAGGTCCTTTGTTCTTGCAGTTAACATTCTGAAATCTGAACTGTCATTTTTAAACATTTAGCCATGATTTTACATGGAAATGAGGTTGTGTATAAATCACTTAGAACTGATAGAATAAATGTCTTGGATATTAGGTGACTTCTGTAGCCTAAAAACAGTGAAGTGTTGCTTCTATAGCTTTCAAGAAAGCGTATCTCCAACACATTATGGTTACTGTAAAACATCTTAATGGAATAGTAAAATCGAAAGTTGTGAAATTTCCCTCAATTTGTGTGTTCCTACTTGGAATTATTTTGAGGGTTACTTTAAAATAAAATGTCTATGTTATAAACAGAACCTGTCGTGACTGTAATGTAATGGACACTTGAAATAAAAGGAAGCGTGATTATTCATTGCATATACATTGAGCATCATTTGAAAAAAAGTGGTCCCTTTTGTAGTATGACCATGGTATTGTTCAGTTTCACAGTGGTCTTTAAATGTCTGTGCAAAATAAGAAAATAAACTTTGACAAATTTTTAAGCCCTCCATAACTCGTTTTCCATTTGCTGCTGCTTTGTAGTGGGAAGAAAAGTAAACCATTCTGTCCAAAAACTCAGACAAATGTTAGACTCGGTTTCCCTGGTCTTGAAAAGTTATTTTCTGGTTTCTTGCACAATATAGGAGTTTTAAATGCTTTGGAAGTGTAATTAAACTATCCAACCAACATTCCTAACTGCTTACTGTAAAAAAGAATGTTTACACCTGTAAAACACTGAGGTGTTAATACAACTGCATGCGTCCACCACAGGTAATGGACTTCAGGCCATAAATACAACTCATGCTATCAAAATGTTCAAGATTTTCCTTGTGACCCCTTAATAATTCTGTAGCACTGCAGTTTGTGTGAAGAGTGGCACACAGTATCTGACCTGCTTTATTGTTGTTTGCTTGCTTGTTTGATGCTGCATCATCTATCGTAAGTAGCAGCCTAGACTTGAGTGGAATGAGTAATGATGGCAAATGAGGGCTGATTTACTTTTTCCAAGCACTGAACAAACATGGAGTACGTGTCACGACTGCAAGAGGTGGAGCAAAAGTTAACTATTTTAGCAAAACACAATTACTCCAGTAACATGCACTAGTAAAGGAAAATAATATACCTGAGGTAACTAAACTCATAGACCTAGACATCTGTCTGTTGGCAAGAAGCTGTCAATTTGACTAGCCACAGCACATCAGCTACTAGAGGAGGCATGTTCACGGTAAAGAGTTGAGGGATTAATTTATGCAAATTTGTATTTATAAAGCACCCTTTGCCAGAAGAAGTTAGCACATGACATGAAAACACAGTTGAGGGTGGGTCTTAAATATGAAATAAAGATATCACTGGAAGATTGGTCACACATAGGTCTCTAGGTGTGGCTGTAGCACCTGCAGAAGCATTCCTACTATAAAATTGTTCCAGAACTTGCATTTTAAAACAAGTTTCTTGCCTCTAAGGTTGTGGAAAAACTGTAAAGTGATGTACCTTCCTGAGGCTGCTTGTTACACTGGGTTAACTATAAAACACATTGATACCAGTTTAGATGTTGCATTGCTATGCAGTGTAGTAGCAGGCACATACCCAGCTAATTATGTATCTTAGTCAACCATCTCCCCCATCTTCCTAGGTGTCAATCTTTTCCCTGGGATCCTATGACTTCTTCAGTCCAGTTGTTTGTACAAATGTGGGCCATCTTGAAAATTGGAATATTAGGGCAAACAGTATAAAAAAGCCAAGAAATATTGAAGGGGTTCTAGTGTGAACTCCTATAGCTAACCATAAAAACCTCAGCTACTGCAGACAGGAGCCTGCCATGTCTGAAGGTAGGTCTGCCTTTCTATACTGTACTTGAGAGCAAACACTCCAGCAGCCTAGAGAGGGAGGAGCTAAATTAGATGGGAGCAACTGCTGCATCTCAGTGTGTATGGGGGAGGGGAAGGAGCAGTCCCTATATCAAGGCTTGGTCACTTAAGATGGGGGTTCTGTGCAGCTAACCCCTGGGGCAAGACTTGAGATGGTGCTGACTATATATTTCTTACCCCCTTATTGACTAACAAGGTGATGATGAAGCTCGTGTAAGGAAAAATGTTTGGGAACCTTAACTACCCAGCACAGCTAGATGTAGGCGTTGAACCAAGCCCCTTCGACAAGTAGAACCTGATTATACAACAGGTTTGTTAATTGCCCTTGAGAGGTTCACATCTTTGAATCAACTGCCTCAATCACTGGTAGTGCAGTTCTTGGATTCCATTTTTTGACAAACATTTCCTTTATGTAAAGGTGGGGAAATTGTCCTAATATGACAGCCCAGGTATAGTAAAAGTAGTTTAGATTGCAATAAGCAGGTTAATATCCTACCTGCTGCTTTCCAAGGGTGAGACAGACTGTAGCTGTCCTTTCCATCCATGAGAGGTACTGAACACAGCCTACGTCCTTGAACAAATGTGGCAGAATGTCACCTCTTACCTCCCCAAAAATGCAGAAGTCCCAGCTCTGACAGTTTTAGAGAAGATGGTAGTTGATCCCCTTCCAGTAAGTACTCTGCACTTCCCCTGCACTCAGTAGGGGACTACACTGTGGAAATTTGGCTTTGACACCTGTGAGGTAGGTAAGTTTCCTCCCTGTGTACAGATGTTAAGACCTATTGATGCCTCTCACCTCTAAGGCATGCCCAATTTCAATTGTGTTCCTGAAGCAGCTTTCAGAAGAGCAAGGCTGTAGTTTAGGGTCAGGGATGAGATGAAAACTACTGCTGGCCCACTGCTCTAGTTTGTATCTATATGCTGCTTTATCAGGTGCTGAGGTTAGATAGGAGGTACATCAGACCAATTTATGCCTGCTGGGTTGTACCCACACTCTTACTTGGACTATTCAGAACACACAACAGGAGCACATGTGCATGACTGTCAGTTTTAGGCCACATTTACAATGACATTTGAACTGGAGCCTGGAGAGGGCTAACCACGGTTAAAGGTTCTTGATGGAGCTATATTTAAGCAGTCCTCAAACCCTTTTCAGATAGAGCATAAGCATTGTATATCAGCACTTTGCTAGCTGTGGTAAAACTAGTGCCTACTGAAAGATGACACTCACAACACTAGTTCAGATTTTATTTTGATATTTATCTCAAATATAAAAAGTCAAAATTCTTACATCAATCTTTAAAGAAAATCCATGCAAGCAGTTCAAAATGTTTACAATTTGTTAGGGGATTTTCCTTCAAATTTCTCTTCTCAGAACCATGTTGATAAACAAACCAACTAGGTTTTTCCTTTCGATTTTCTCCACCGTGACTTGTCAATAGGCTAACTTTGGGCAAAGTTAGTGTGCATGCAGTAAGTCACCAAATTATGCTTTTCACTTTAACAGTCTCTGTGCAATACACTTGATACTTTTGCAGTGTTAAAACATCAATTTTTAAGTAGGTATTTATTGTAACAAAACTTCCAATTCAGGTGGAGCTGAAGCTATTTCCATTGGCAATAACATATCACATCTATTTCATCTTAGGTCATGATGATCCCAAACCATGGCTGCTACAGGAAGACCATGGATGCAAATCAGATTCCTTTTTCTGTTCACACAGCCAGGCAAGCATCAGAGCTGCCAGCAGCTCACTGGGGTAGGGATTAAAAATGTAAATTCTAGTCCTATTTGCACAAATAATGCATCACAGTAAGCTATAAAACCACCACTAGTTACTTCATAAACTAAACTGGAAACCTTTGTAAGAACGTGAGGAAACTGCTGGCAGTAATATGCTTCTATATATAATCTTGACAGCAGGAGCTGATGCAAAATTTTATCCTCCTTATCCCAAGTTTTACACCATCCATTGCTGTAGAATTTAACTTTAGGGTTCACTTAGCCTGTTAAAAGACTCAAACATACAAAAGGAATTTGCTAGCATGGTTTCCTGTAGCATACTTAAAGCAAGAGCCTGCACAGTATTATCAGTTTACCTTTACTGTCACATACTTCAAAGTTCTGTGAATAGAAAAGCATAGGAAATCAAATTGAACAATACAGGGCTTCATTTTGAAAGCTGCATAGAGACTGAAGAGATCTGTACAACAAATGGCATTTAAGAATTCATGTGGCACTATTAACAGTCCAAATGTGTGCAACCAAAATATTAAAATATTTATAGGCAATCAACAGTTTGTTAGCAACAGCAATTCTGTACATTTTTACACAGTTATCAAATACATTGAGAGCTACAAAATAAGATCATGCATTACCACTAATATCTTATACAAGTATGAGTTTTCTTTTAATTCCAGGAGTCTGAAACTGTTTTGAGATGGCTTCTAGTTCATAACTGCTTCTAAGTAACTACTTTGGACTTTTGTATGTAGTTTCATGGATTATGTTGTACAAACAAAAACTTCTCAAAAGGCTCACAGTTATGAGCTCAGTTTAATGTGTTAATGACTACTGCACAAAAATGTGTCAATGTACATGACAAACATTAAATGGTTCACGGTTTCAAAAAGAGAGTAGATCAACTTAAAAATCTGATGTTTCTATTACCATTAAACCATTCTGTCATTGTACATTAGACATTCTTTTCAAAGCACCTGACTTCAGCTATCTAGATGTTTTAGTTAGTAAGTCTCTTTTCAATTTTGTAAGCCCTTCAGGACAAAAGCTAGGCAATGTTGGTGGTGTTTAGATCAGAAGAATTAAAATGGGTTTAAAATCTCATGAATTGTTGAGATTTTGGCCCTCAAATACCTGAAGTCTCATGAGATCAACTGTTCATGATGATTCCACCATTTTGTGGTGCATCTGAACTATACATAGAAGACATGCCTGCTCTTCCGGTTTTAGAAGAGACCTGGAACTAGAACCATAGGGCTAGTGCTGATCTAGGGATTTAAAAAACATCCCACCTCAAAGTTCAGGCAGCTTCTGTTTTTTGGCTCATGTTCAGGGCCATCTCTAATCAGTAGTACTTATGGCCTCTTCAAAGAGCAGTTTACATGAGGTGAAACCTCAAACATTACTATCCATGGTTTAAATGCATTTATATATGGCACAAAGATCTCATTTTTCAAAAAGGATCACTTGTGGCACCAATATTTTCCTAAAAAAGTGTAACAGCACGCAGAAGTTTAATTTATAGCAGCATTTTACACAATTTGTGCTAAAAAAGTAGAAGTTGTGTATTGAGTAACAAAATGTTTAAATTACATTTACTTTCCATTTTACACTCACTATTTACCAGTTGGACTATTTACAAAGGGTTCAAATGCTATGTAAAAGAATGAGTTTACCCAAAACAGCCTTCACAAGACACACAACGTTTACCCCAACCTCAGTTTTGGCTTTCTGCCCAGAAAGAGGTGGCTGGAATTAATATTTAGATCCTAAAAATTCCAAAAGTATCTGCATGAGCTAGATGGCATTCTTTGTAGAAAACTGTCTTAATGGCACAGTGGCAAGAACATGTTTGGGACCCCTGGTTAAGTTCAGTTTCCATCCTTTTTGGTTGACAGGTACGGGGGGGGGAGAGGGGGGGTGATGAATGGTAATTATGACAGGATGCTGTCCCAAGTTTACTCCAGTTAAGTTGTAGCATTAGCTCTACTTTCACTTCAGAGAGCAAAAGCAGTTATTTTGAACGATCAAAAATATTTTTAGTATTACAACTTTAATTGGGATATCCAGCATAGTCATTAATAAGGTAACAAAAATTTTGGTATAACAAATGTCAATACCAGCACTTTCTGCTCCTAGTCCACAGTGCCATTTCCTCTTGATTACGAGTTTGCTAATGGACTTAGACCTAGCCACATTGTTCCCTTATAGGTATAATTTTCTTCCAAACACTGTACTTTATTCTTCTATGCCACAGAAGCTACAAGAGACTCAAAACTGGAAGAAACTGATGCTATTTTTTACTAATTGAACAATCTTAGAAAACTATGGGATTGCACCATCAGCAAAATGAATGCTAGGATATCAGAGGAAGGCAACACTTAATGATCATTGAGGGGGGCGGCAGCATGTTTTCAGTTTTCATGTACCTCTTTCTACAATTATGAATTTCTTGCATCTTTGGCCAAGTACTACAAAAAAGTCTTTGAACAGCTTTTGGAATTGTAGCAACAGAGCATCAATGGTTGAGCCTCTTTTTCGAATCTTTGCTCAAGCTGTCAACTACATTTTGTATGTTAAGATTCCATAGGTCAAGGTAACAAAGGGAAAAATGTTGCTTGATGTTTGAATCCTTTGCTGTGATTGGCTGGATGTATTTAGTGCTTTATTGTAGTCATGATTATGTATCTAAGCTGAATAGTATGCTCAGTTTCCCAGATAGTGGTAGTATTTTAGAGGTCATCTAGCACTTTAATTGTACATTTTGAGTGGAAGTTTAAGAGAAACGTTACTGCCATTTGTTCAAGAATTTTCCCACTAAATTTTTTTTTTAAAGACTACTTGACTAAAAAAAATTAAACCAAAATCTGGAATAAGTTCTATTTAACCCAGATGTTTGTTATTTTTAGCAGATGTGTAAGTTTATATATTGATAGTTTTTTAAAACTGGCCAGTTAAGGCATCTTAAAAAAATTCCATATATGGCTTTAGTTTGCTGAAATACTATTTTACATTGTTAAAAGGAAAAAAGAAGTTAGTGTCTGAATGTTATGATGTATTCACACATTTTGCTGAGGACTGACAGTCAAAGATGTCTGCATGTGAACACAAATACATTCCCCCCTCCTCCACCTTGTGATGGCGCACGAATAAAAAGGTATCCAAATTTTTATCTCACAGTAGAGGGCAACCCAGAAGTCTGTGCAGAAGTGACATATAAAGAGTTGTTATCAGGAAGATTGGGGACCACAGAATTCCCATTGGTTGGGGAGCAGCCCAGTTTCAGTTTTTCCAGGTATTCTGCATGAACAGGCTTATGACACTGAAGAACCTTGATAGCATCTTCTACTTTAAACCATTCTCTTTTCCTTCCTGAATGAGTAATTTACATCAAAGAAAAATATGTTACAAACAAGTTTCAACAGCAGTTCAGCTACAACAGGCAGTTCCAAAAACTCCAGGTCCAAAAACTTAAAGGTCAGGTGCAAAGCAAAAATACAAACTGAATTAAGATCAAGCATCCTCTCCCCTCCCCCCCAAGTGTGAGTGAAGATGGCATGTAACACAGGAGTAACAGCTGAGCAGCAGAGGAAAAGTGGTCTTTGTGCCTCCCCCTCTTTAGTGTATAGAGTCCTAAAAGGTTTGTTTCCCCTTGTTTCTTTACATTGGAAATCCAGGTTGTCTGCGCGCCCGTAGACTGACAACTGGAGAACAGGAAAGTGACATCAAGAGAAAGTTGGACAACAAAGATTTAGTCAAACTTCTCTTGTTCATTGAAACTAAATAGATGCTAACAAAACATTTTAGATACAGGGTCTCTTCTGTAGAGGTCCTATACCTACTCTATCCAGTCCATCAGTTTATGCAGAATCCATGCTCTTTAAAACAAAGACGTCTAGTCCTAATGGCTGGGAACAGGACAGACAAATTCATGGTTGGCTTCTTTATAGCATAGGGCATGTCTACACAAACTCTTCCTGAATGACTCCTTGTGTGGACACTTATGAAAGCAGTGCCTTTTTCCAAAGTAGCATAATCCACTCTGAGGGCTGGTCCACACTAACCCCCCACTTCGAACTAAGATACGCAACTTCAGCTACGTGAATAACGTAGCTGAAGTCGAGGTATCTTAGTTCGAACTTACCGTGGGTCCACACGCGGCAGGCAGGCTCCCCCGTCGACCCCGCGTACTCCTCTCACGGAGCAGGAGTACCGGCGTCGACGGCGAGCACTTCCGGGATCGATTTATCGCGTCTTGTCTAGATGCGATCAATCAATCTTCTGGGATCGATTTCTTACCGCCAGGTCCGGCGGTAAGTATAGACGTACCCTAAGTGTTCATGCCTGAAGTTATTCTGGAAATAGCTATTTCATTTTAAACATACCAGAGGGAACATGTGCATTATTCATCTGCCCTCTTCAAGATGATAGAGGGGTAGTAAATTTAAGATCTGACATTTGGCAGAGGATAGATTAGTAGCAGAACTCCAGGCACTGGTAATTGATAAGGAAAAACAGGCAACTCTTGAGGAGTACCTCCAGCCAATGAGAACAGAGCAGCCAGGAAGTTTGCTGAAGCAACCCCTTTAAGTTGCTAAAATGCTCTTAAACCTCATGTCTCAGCTGATAAGACTAAATGAAGCCATCTAAAGCACAACTGCTAAGAAGCGTTTCCTTTAAGAAATATTTTTAAAATATTTGAATAAGTATAAGTTACTCTTTTTTTTCAAATATATTGACAAAAGTTGTATTTCTTTACCATTCATATTTGAAGATATGTTTGTATATCAGACTTGAATTACAAGCCCAATCCTCGTGCACTAAAATTGCAAAAATTTTGCTACTGTATCCTGATGTCAATGTGTTCCTGGTTCATGGAGGATATCCCAAAATGCAATGAATACTAGTATTTATTTTAACCCATACAATCTTATTTGCTACCACAAAATACATGATTGTGACACCTTTAATGATCCAGAAAGTACCAACACACACTAAGGCAGAGGTTCCCAAACTTTTCTTATTGTGTACCCCATTCCAGATCTACCAATTGCCTGCATACCCCATACCCATCACTAATACTTTGTGTGTTCTTAACACTGTCTTCAGCCATCTGCCCATATTTCACTGTTACATATAGATATAGTTATAGTGTGATGTATAGAACCGAAAAAAACCTCTAAGTTCTGAACTCAGTACACTGGACAGTTGCTGGGCAAATGAACCTGCACTGTATGGTGACTGGAGGTGAGGGTTCCGTACATCAGCATCTGTGTTCTCGTTGGTATATCTTGAAGTAAGTTAAACTACCATATTTTATGCAACAAAATTTCCAGAGTTTTAAAGCTTCATTTGAGTAGCCTACTACGAAAATGCAATAAATAAAATCCACCATTACATAATTTCTCCCGCAACCCCCCAGAGATGTCTTGCAAAGCCCCAGGGGTACACGTATCACAGTTTGGGAACCCTTGCACTAAGGGTTTTTTTTTTTTTTTTTTAAATATAGAAGTTATTTCTACACTGAAAACATTATGAAAAATCTGTTAATTCTATTTTCATTTTGCTGTACAACTTGCATTACATATATTGTGCTGCTATTGTAATTTTTAAAACATTCTTTTAAAGGGACACGGTCATGATTGACACCACTTGATGGCAAAAAACTCAATTCTATAATTTATAGTATTATGTTAAAGTATTAAAATTCCAATTCCTGAAATGGGAAAGCCATCTACTAACCAAGGATACTGTTTTGGTGCAGATTCCTGTGTGATCCATCAGATAACTGACCAACGTACTGCTCAATGAGTGCAACATGTTAATATTTAGGTAAAACCACATGGAAGGCAGGCTAACTTGTTAGGGATATCTGTAACTGATTAAATTTAGCAAAGGAGTAGTCATGTGATACATTTCAAAAAATGCTGTTTAACTAAACTGACTACATCAGTGGTTCTCAACCTGCAGCCCATGGGCCGCTTACTGCCCAATCAGCACACAGCTGTGGCCCATAGGACATCCTCAGGGCCATACAGGTAGTACATATTGTGTGGATGCAGCCCACAACACAGGGAACTGCATTTGCAGCCCACAATGGTAAATGGGTTGAGAACCACTGGACTAGATACTCTATGCATCTAAACATAGCAGGCTTTAGCCAGTGAACATAACCTTACACATAAGTTAAGATTTTTTTCCACGGTTATTTTTAGTAAAAGTCACGGACAGGTTGTAGGCAAACAAAAATTCACAGAAGCCTGCAACCTGTCCAGGACTTTTACGAAAAATGATTGGGGGTGTGTAAGACTGCAGTCCAAGCAGGGGGAAAGAGAGCCCAAGCCCCACTCTGGGAGGGGGAGCCAGATGGCTCTAGGTACCCCACTGCTGGCTGAGAGCTCTGGCCCTGCCGCCTTGAGGCTGATGCAGAAAATGTCACAGAGGTCTCAAAGTTATGGAATCTGTGACTTTATGATATAATCTTATCTTTACTTATGACTAATATTGGCGTTGCTCGAGCGCTAGAGAAGTGATGAAGTATAAGTTTGACGAAAGCTAGTCAAAGTTTTTCATTAAAGTTTGATAATGGCTTTGTCATTGTTTTCTTATGACAATCAAAACACCTTTTTGTTTTCTGGAAACAAAAATTGAAAGTTTTTCAACAAAAAGCAAAAATCTGCTAAAAATAGTTTTCCATAAAACGTACCCATTTTCTGAACACTTGCAATTACGACTAGACTAATTATGACTAGACAACTGGGAGTTCCAATTATGTCTAAAGTTACTGTTTATCCCATCTTATTGCTTTACAAGGCCTACTTCATATATTGTGTTATTTCTATATTGTATTTGAAGGTTAAGTTTTGTACAGTTGAGGAAAACATTTACAATCATTTCAGTTTTGCCACAGATTAGGGATCTCTCCAGATTTAGAAAAGAATCCACTGTTGTAGGTTCTAGAAAATAAAATACACTTCATAATTAAAGTTAGCACATAGCAAGGATAAAAACAAACTTGCCTATATTAACTGAATCCTCCCAGTCTTCCAATATTTCAGTCACTGTAAGAACATAAACGTAAGTCCTATGCTTCCGGTCTTGGTTCTGCTTGAATGTTAGAAATACAAATTTTAATTCACAGTAATTTGGAAGTTATTTTTATAGACATACACTTTTTAAAAATCACGTTCTTTAATCTAAAGTAAATAATTTAGGTGTGCAATGTATCTGCTGGACAACAAAACCAACTCTTTTATTGACTATACTCGATATTGTTATAAAATCCTTCATAAGTCTTACTATTGCATCACTAAACACAAGAGTATTTGAACTTCCATTTTCCCATCAAACAGGAAAGCCACCCTTAGTATTGAATAGAATCAAAATTGAAAGCATAGAGGATGCTACGGTGTGAAAACTGGATGATATTCATTTAGTTAATGCTCAAACATCTACACTTAGGAGAGAGTCCAGGAAGGACCATCATGATCATCTAGTCTGACCACATGTATAATGGAGACTATAGAATTTCACTCAGCATAGGTGAAATGGACAAGGGATTCATGAGCAAGAGAGAGTGCTCCTTAATAATTAATACTGAATCTAGATCTACCAATAGTACGGTATGACTGTCAATGTTCCCTCTAATTTTTTCCATCCATGTGTGGAATAAATTTTATGTGCACCAAGGTAATGTGCGGATGTGCACCACCAGTAGAAACAAAAAACCTATATATAAGTTACCATAGGGATAATTACTCCAGCCAGCACAGTTTAAGCATTTTAGAACTCACTACCCAAAGAAATAAATTTAAGTGTAAGAAATAAAAATTATGAAAATGCATAGACCAGTCAAAACACTAAAATAACACTTTGAAAGAATAAAATTAGAGAATATAGGTGCATTGCAGGAAGTACCAAGAAGTAACAACAACTAGTATGTGTTGGGAGGTGAGTGTGAGACAGTGTGTGAGAGAGAGTGACACAGAATGTGTGCTGGCTGCTGGGAAAGTTTCTGAGAGACGCCATGCATGGTCTCTCTAAGGCACTCACTGAAAGCTCTCCTGCTTCTATCCTGAGCCACTTCCCCCCCCCCCACCCCGCTCTGCAGAGATGGGGTATGGGGTGGGGGCAGCACCTGACATCAGCACCCCCCTTCCCCACCCTGCACAGCCAGCAGGAGGGTCCCAGGAGCAGCTGCAGGAGCAACGTGGCTGAAAAGCAGCGCACTCGTGGGGGGGGAGAGAGAAGGGGAAGGGGGCACCTGAACACAGCTACCAGATTGTGCACAGCTCTGCTAATCAAGTGTGTGGCACTTGAATCACTCCTGGGCGGCTGCCCGACCGGGTAGCTTAGAGGGAACACAGGTGACTACTATATAACAGAATGCTTCTTTCACCCTGGAGGTCTGACTGGTTAGCAGACCCCACTAACCTATTAGAGCCTCTTTCCTTCTTCCCTAGTCACCCAACAGCTTACAGTTATGGGTAACTCACGGACAATAGCAAAGTAAGTACCCTTAATGGCTGCTCTTTAGGGAGCTCCAAAGCCAGTTTTAACAAGGTAGAACAGAGAAATAGATTGAGCATCAGAGACAGGAGGGTTTGTAGGGGAATTTAAGTTGGCTACTGGAACAAAACTGAACCATCTAACTTGGTTTGTAGTGACATATGAGACTTCTGACTTATCTACACAGGATGTTAGTGTGGCAAGCCAAGGTGTGAATCTACAGTGTATTAGATTGCCATGCAGTATTGTCTCGTGTAGACATGCCCTAATTGTACATATGTAGTCTGTTTTAAATAATTTAATGTTTTGTTCTAATTACTAAATAAAAGTTCTAAGAAGGTTGTTGGTCAACATCACTGTCATCAATTCTTAAAACCCTGTTAGAGCTGCAGGCTGATAAGCAAGTACAGTAGTGTACCCAGATCCCAGTCTAAGGGTAGAAGAATTGAGAAATTCCACACAGGGACAGGTAAGGACAAGAAACCAAACACCTAAGGTGGGCACATTCAGACTAAAAAGGGGGCAAAATGGTGTAGTTAGCCATGTAACTGCAACAGTGATAGAGGGAACTTCTCCAATTCAGTCAACTTAGTCCTCACAGTGTAGGCATCTTTATTGCTTTACCACTGGAGTCCAGCATGCCTGCCCAAAAACAACCTAACACGATTCAAATATGTAGTTTAACTCCTAGCTTTAACCCCTTCTCCTAAAAGAGGTACTTAGTGACCGGTTCCTTACCTTCTAGCTTTGCTTTAGAGATGAGGCATTACAAATTGCCTCCGATTTAGAAAGTTAAATATATTAGCTGGTAAGGAGCTCCATCCAACGTGCCCTAAAACTGAAGTCAGTTATCTAGGGGAGTGAAGCTGTTTAAGGTGCGGCCATGCCTCCAACTGAAGACCCAAATAAGGGATGAGTAACTAAACAGACATGGTACAGTTGTTACCTAGTCCTAGGGCTTGTCTAGACCTGCATGCTAAATTGGTGCCGCTGCGATCGATGCAGCAGCACTGATTTAGTGGGTCTGTGAAGATGTGATAAATTCATGGCAGAGTGCTCTCCTGTTGACTTCAGTGCTCCAACTCCTCGAGAGGTGAAAGCTAAGTTGGTGGGAGATCATCTCCTGCTGACATAGTGCAGAGCAGACACCATGCTAGCTCGATATAAGCTACATCGCTCAGTGGGGTGATTTTTTCACATCCCTGAGCGACGTAACTTACATTGACTTAAGCAGCAGCGTAGCCAGGCCTAGGAGCCCTATAGTATTAGATGTAGCCTAAAAGAAATGCTAGGGCTACACTATAAAACAATCTGAGCAATAAAGTGGAAGCAACCAAAGAATAGAGGTACCAAAGAATATTTTGGGTGTTCTCAGTTGAGGGGGGATCCAGAGGAACAGGCTGCCCGCAATTAGGCTAATCCAAATTTGACGACCTTTAGGGCATGCCACAAATCCTATCTGAGTAAGATTTTGTACCAAAATGATAGTTTGTGTATATAACCTATACAAATTTAGGAACAAAAAAGAGCACAGAAGATTCCAAAAAGGCTACCTATTAGGGATCTCATGCATATCTAGTTTACCTCTGAAATATTTGGATACTATGGTGACACTCACGTGAACAGTGGCTAAACTTGGGAGAAAATATTCACCAATCAGCATTTTATTGGTTTCTCGAAACCTACAGCTAAAGTAGATATGGCAGATGCAGTAATCTCTCTGCCTCACTCCACGTGACTTAGGCATCAATCCATCAGTTCCACAGTATCCTCCTCAAGAGGTAAGTGTATTGTACTGTTAAAGATGTTAGAGAAACAAGGTGGGTGAGGTAATATCTTTTATTGGTCCAACTTCTGTTGGTGGCATTTGACATGGAATGTGAGAGAGGTATTTTAAGTATGGGAGACAGATTTTTGCCATTTCCAAAGATGGAAGTGTATCTCTGGGCCATTTATGTCTTAGCTGATTCAAAGTTTGTCGTTCAGCCTGTGAGTAGGATAAAATGCATTTTTTTTTAAGTCTGTTCACGGGCAGGTTGCTGCTCCAGATAAACTCCACCTAATATTTGATTCTGAACTTTTGTAATCTGAGTGCCTCTCTCAATATATTTCATACCACCACATAGAAAATTTGTATGTCTCTACTCAGACTGCCATTTAAGATCCAAAGAGGGAGAAAATTTGAAGCCATCTGGGTTTTCAAAGTAGAAAGAAAAAAATTAGGAATGCGAGTACTCAGACATCATTTAGACATTGAAGCCATATTTGTATATGAAGCCATATCTTAACTCGTGTCTTAAAACTAAATATCTGACAATCAAGTGAATTTGTTTTAATTTTAATTCTAGTTTTTTATTTGTTGATTCATAACTGTTCAACAGTCATTGCAGTTCAACAAAGTCTGACAGTCACATGACTGTGGAAATTTTGAAACAGGGTATCATCAACCTATGAGACTGACTGCTGCACAATATGGAAAACAGACAAGAGTCAGATTAAAATAGAAGCACTTGTCGTTTAGCTACGCTAAAAGTTACTCTGAACATCAGTACTATATATCCAAGCTTACTATCAGCTATCTCAAGGAATTTCTGCTCTCCATGGTATAGCATATCGAAGTATGCAAGGTATATTATGTTTGTCTTCCTCTGAGGCAGTTATAGATTTCTAAACACTTGTTAGGACTTCAGTTCAGAACTTGTGAAACAGTTGGCATAACCACCATCTAAAACAGAGCTACATTCACTGCATTGCTTGGTGTGTTATGTCATCAGCCAAGCTACTGTCTGAGAATCAGTCCTTGAGAGGCATAGTTTCGGGAGGTAAATAAGGTGGAAATTGAGAACTATTTTCAGGGTCTATGTAAAATAAGATTTGTAATTTTTAAATCTATTCTTTAACAATCTGTAATCCTAAACATTAATTTTCTTTAAAGAAGCAAAGTTATACTGAGACTATTTTCTTGTTGACAAATTTCATCTATTGCTTTACTTACTCCAATTTAGTTTAAGATCACACCGCTTATTTTTCATACTGGCAAGGCGTTCAAGTGCATGTGTTAGATTTCAGCCATGAAATAATGGTAAAATTATCACGTTAGAACCTTTTGTAGTAGATGTAATTCACTCTACCTTTCTTTAGAAGTTAATTTCCTGTGCCAGACAGCAACCATTAGTTTTATATGGAACACCTTCTCCTAATAAAACTGTTTTCATACAATGGCCAGTCAATGCAATATGTTCAACAAGTAAGCTATTTATTTACAAGTACCTGGCAAGGCTTTTATATGGCAGATATAATTAACACATCTACTCAAGCTTTGCTTTGATTGTGAAGCAGGGGAAGACTCCACTTGTCTTTGAAACTATTGATCTGTTACTCTTTTAAAGGGATAAAGAACCTAATATCTGGCCTGCTACTGTTGCAACCTAAGTTTAAAGTAACTATAGCAAAAATTAGAGGTTTTATTCTCCAATTCTTTGTGAGCATTTGACATTATTTTGTATCATCAGTTCCCCATTTGTGTGGGTCTGCCACAAAGCATCAGGGGAAACATTTTTTAAAAATAGGATAATAGTGACTGTCAAACTACAAAAATTGGAAGATGCAGTTGTCGTACCAGAAGTTAAAAAGTAACTCAAGCTGACTAGATTGGGTCCCTTTGTCACCCACACTTCAAGGACAAAGGAATTTTTTTTTTTTTGCGCTTTTGAGAAAGCCTGATTTTTAGAATTGATTTTTTAAATCTCCAATATACTAAGAATGTTCAATCTTGTCTTGCGTGAAGCCAAAAGTAAAACCAAGGAAATGGACTGAAAGCTCTCAGAGACCTTAAAAGGACTAGGTATTGAATCTGAGTTGCCCCCACTGATATTTTAACGGATTTTTTTTTGTCTTTCATATGAAGCACCAGAGATGGCCACAACTGGAGAAGGGACATTGGATGGTATTGGCCAGTGGTCTAAAGTGGTATCAAAGCATTCTCTCAGGTCTTGCTCACGTGCTCAACAACTAACTGATGCCCATACTCAGGGTAAAGACCCCCCCCCCCCCCCCCGCGCGCCAGACTAGCAGTGACTAGGTTTTTTTGGTTTGTTTGTTTAAAAACACAAAAAACAAAATACAAACAAAAAACAAACCAAAAAACCCCCCGGCAGCATGGGACTAGTCGCTTGGTAGAATCATCTGGGTCTCATTCTCTGATTTCAGGGGCTTCAGGCACTGCTTCACCGCCATCTCTCCTGTTCTATGTGGCATACAACAGAGAAGTCTTACAAGGGCAGTAATACTTTGGTTTAATTCCAGTGGGCTTTTAGTGTGCAGGTGGCTGGGTAGTGTTCAGTGACCTGTGATATACTGGTGGTCTTTTCTGGCCTTAAGATCGATGGCTATTTTAGAAAGTTGGGTGTTGAAGAAAATGTTTAGTCTGAATTAAAAAGCCTCTCCCCGGTCAGTCTGGTTTCACTTTTTTGGTTTCCAAGCGTCAAACCTATTAGTTCTTCAGATATCCATACATTTCTTCCAGGAAAATAGGGAAGAGAACATCTGGATTTCCAGCATCTTGAAGACTTTTTACTTTCCAGGCCCTACACGTCAGAGAAGCAAAGAAGCACAAGCCCATTTCCCCACCTCCTTTTCCAACCACTTTAAATCTACTTTGTAAGATTAAAACAAGTAACACTTGACTTTCTTGGAGAACTTCAAATCTGGTACTACTGCACAGATGTTGGTTTCACCAGCCTATCAACTTGCACAGTCGACATCTGTATTTAGGTATGTGGGTTTGGGTTTTTTTGTTGTTTGTTTTTAAATAGCTCACCTCAAATATCCCCAGCAGTCTGCCTAGTTTTCCCTTTACTCCAGCCTACAAGAGAAGAAAAAGAATTAAAGTGTTACCATGTCAGGTTTTTTTTTAGTTCAAAGCTGAAGTCTGACTTGTGCTTTTGTAATGGAGTCGTTACAAGCCATATAAAAATGGATTACACAATTTTATCAGAAGATACTGTAGAATATTAGTTCATAGAGAAATTTTACCTAGACACCATTATATTACTTCAAAATGACCCCAAACTTTCTGGCATCCGAATATGCTTGTGGGGCAAAAAAAATCTGTCTATTCAATAATTTGTGGGCCTAATAGGAATAGGAAGATACATATCTGATCTTATTGACTTAAGGTGGTGGGCAAGAGCATATTAGCACCAAAGTGCAGAGAACAAAGAATAGCTGACCTCACATATGCATCTAGACCTAAATGTTATTTTATTTGCCACGTTCCTCGTAAGCTATTTACACATTAGTAAGAAACCAAATGGGGGACACAGTGAGTTAAGGTGAGTAGAATGAAATAAATGGAAGTATTAGAGGCATACTTTACCAAGGATGAGCAATAAATTCAAACTAAAGAACCAACAGAAACCCCTTTAACAGGTCAATAGTCATTCCATAAGAAGTAGAAGTCCAGCTAGTGATGTCCAAGAACACTGTCAACAGCTAGGGTAAATCAAAAGGCAGGACTCTAATACCATTTTAGGATACTTGATGTAACAAGCAGAGTTATATGAATTGCCCTCACACAATCTGGACATAATAATTACATTGTACACGGTTCACAAATACAGATTTAAGTCATGCATGAACCTACGTTCGGGATCCCCACACCTGTAGTTTACATCTCTATTTTTCTAGTTAGCAATGCTACAATGCTAAAATTCAGAGTTTTATTTTAGAAATAGCTTCTCAGCACACCTCACATACAAGAGAAATCACTATCTACCTAGTTTTCTCCAGTTTCATATGTACAAGTAGTTTGAGATATTTCCAGTGAAGAGGCACTATTTATGCTTTACACTTAGGTTTGGATTTGCAGTTTGTTCAGATTACTTTTTTACGACTCAAGGGTAGCAAACCCATTTGCAGAAGAGGCTATAACAAAGGGCTTTTGTACACTTGAAATGTTGCAGCTGCAGCAGTGCTGCTGTAACACTTCAGCATAAATGTGACCTATGCCAATAGGAAGGGTTCTCCTCTTGTGGGGAGAGGTGGTAGTTAGGCTGATGGAACACTGGTTGTTCGGTTGGCTTAAGTAGGCCACTCAGAGTTGTGGATTTTCACACCCCTAAGCGATGTATTTAAGCCAACTTAGTTTTCTACTGTATACCAGGCTTAAGTATGGCCTTGTGATATAATGTATATAATACATGAATTCCTAGTACTGTAAAATAATTTTCTAGCCTTCATTCCCTATTTCCTGTATTAGCTAAAGAATCAGAATAATTGATGGTGTCTTATGCCTTTGAGATATTTAAGGAAGAAGATGGATTTTAATGAGAAGCTCAGACAGGAGACAAAAGTGAGTAGAGGTTTTAATAAGCTGCTAAGAGACACTGCATATTGCTTTATAGTGAGCTCTCACGACCACTAAAGTGAACAATTTTTTTTTTTTTTTTAAACAAAGGCAGATGGCTGGTGTCCTTTATGAAGCATCTTTGGAAGATTAGAACTGAGCTCAGTCCTATTCCAGGCAATGGAAGTTTTGCCACTAATTTAGTAATAAGATTGGGCCTGAAGTTACTGCAGAATACACAGCCAGCTGCTTTGAATGCATAACAACTTGCTAGAACTATTACTACACAGCTTTGAGCACACTTTATAAAAAAAAAAAAAACTTATTTTTTTAAACACCTAAATATTAAGGTTGACCTAGCTACATTGCTCACAGTTGGCAGTTTCACACCCTACCTAATGGAGTTGGGTTCACTAACCCGCATTGTAGATACAGCTAGGCTGATGGAAGAATTCGTCCATTGACCTAGCTACCACCTCTCAAGGGGGTGGATTTACTAATAGAAAAACCCTGACATTGTAATAAGTATCTACGCTACAGCAGCGTAGCTGCAGCGCCACATATGCCCTGCTGTAGCTGCTTGTAGTGTAGTCATACCCCCAATGAAAACTGCAGTGAGCCTTCTGTTGAGCATACTTACTAAATAATCCTTTGTATACCACTGAACAATACAGCTGAGACTCAGAATATTTACTGCCTTATGTAATTCATTGGAGGGCCCTGCGTCTATTGTAACTTCAGATGGAATTTCTCTGGTTGTTCTGCTCTGATGAAGTGCAGCTGCCCAGACATTCTTATTTGACCAGTCTACTCTCCCAGTGTATGGCCTGGGCTACACTCGCGTCCAGACGAGACGTGAGAAATCAATCCCCGATACATCGAACCAGGGCCAGCTCTAACTTTTTTGCAGCCCCAGGCAAAAAAGAAGAGAGCCGCCCTGCTGTACCTCCCCCCCCGCGAGCGCCGCTGAAATCCCCTCCCCCCC